CACCGACCTGGCCAACGAGCGGACGCTGCTGGCGTGGATGCGGACGAGCATGGCGGCGTTCCGCTCTGCGTGTTGCTTCCTCAGCATCGCTGGCGGCTTTAGTTACAATGCCGCGCGTGTGATGATGGTGGTCGCGTGCGTCTGGTCCGCGGTCTCGGGCATCCGTCGGTACCAGAAGATCAAGCAGGTCACTTTCGCACTGGTGCCCCCGAAAGAGTTCGGCCGCGTGTCGATCTGGTGGTTCGCCTTCCTGATGGTCATCTGCAACGTGGCGATCGCGACGGGGATGGTGTCACCGTACTGGTCCAAGAGCTAGGCTCTCTGTATGGGTACGCTCGAAGAACAAAAAACGGCATAACCATATATGTTCGTAGTTTCGCGCGAATTCCTTGAATCCGCGCCGGGCCCCCCTGACGGTGCCTCTGGCTCCGCCCCCAACGCGTTCCGCGCGCCAGGGAGGGGGGTCCAGCGCAGATCCAAGAAATCCGCGCGGAGTTCCGAGCAGTTACAGTCTAGGCTGATTTGTAGGTCGACCCTGCCAAATCGAGGGTACCCTTGTGTCCTGTGTTTGGCGACGCACGCATTCTACATTTCTATGGCAATGAGGCCCTCGGAAGGGTCTCGTGTCCCCTCGCGTGTCCTCTTCAACCGACCCCGAATGTAATATTCATGCCGTGTTTTGTTCCTCCTGTGAGGGTCATCTGCAGACTTTTGCGATCGCGATGGGGACGGTGTCACCGAGTAGGCTGCCAGGTGCTGGGCTCCGTAGGCGTCACCGCGCAGCTGCGGCGACGACGTGGCACCTCACCACCCACCAAACGACCCCAACCCAACCCGAAGGCTCAGATTTACCCTCGATTTCCAGTGGGGGGGGGGGTCGGGAAACATCGAAAAAACTCGTGTGGAACCCTTACCCCCCCCAACCCGAAATTCGGGTCTTCGGGTTGGGTTGGGGTGGTCTGGTAGGTAGTCAGCATCCCCCGCGTGCCGCGGCACGCCGCAGCGGCGGCGCCCGCCGCTCTCCGACGGGCAGGCGCGGAGCTCGTGTGTTCGGGTGGTGCTGGGAGTGCCCTTGGGCCCCAGGTGCCCCCAGGATCTCAAGGGCCCCCACGAGGGCGCGAAGTGATTCGCGCTTCGCGCTTCGCGGTCCTCGTTCCTTCTCCCCCCTCCTCCTCGTCCTCCTTTTCTCCCTTTGGGGGGGCTCCCACGAGGGCGCGAAGTTATTCGCGCTTCGCGCTTCGCGGTCCTCGTTCCTTCTCCCCCCTCCTCCTCGTCCTCCTTTTCTCCCTTTGGGGGGGCGGCGCGAGGGCGCGAAGTTTTCGCGCTTCGCGCTTCGCGGAGCGCGAAGCGCGAAGTTGGGAGCCCTAGAGGATCTCAATGGAGGCCCCCACGGCCTCGAGCGTGTTTTGAAATCCTCTGAGCCATAAGGAGCGCCATGCCCCCCCCCCCCCCCTCCCCCCCTGTATCGTAACGCTTCCCCTCCCCCCGGTAATGCGCCTCCGGCACTGCCATTCTGATGCTCGCAGGCTACCGTGGTGCTTGCAGGTTACTTCCACGTTCACGGCCTGTAGCGTGGCGTTGACAGGCTCATTGCCCGTGCTGCTCGCAGGCATGGTGCTGCACTCGCACGCTATTGTAGCATAAACAGGGTCTGGAAGTTTTTTAGCACGCGCGCGGGGTTCACTCGGTACTCTGGTGCTGGCAGGGCCGCGAGAGTTGTGGTAGTAGTGGCATTGGTAGCAGAAGTAGTGACAACAGTCGCAGCAATAAAAAGATATATCATGAGGAGGAGGACGAGAAGGAGTTGGAGGGGGGAACGGGGTGTCCTTGTACTCGTCGTCGTGGTTGTCTTGTAAGCGTGGTGGTCGTTGTTGTGTGTTGTCGTAACTTTTGCCGTCGTCGTCGAAATCGCCATCGCCGTCGTGCCCATATTGGTCGTAGCGATGGTCGTGGTCGGCGTGTGGTCGTCGTTGTGACCGTCGTCATAGTCGTCGTGATCGTCGTCGCGGTCGTCATCGTAGTCGTCGCGTTTTCGTCGGGATCGGAGTCGTAGTAGTCGTGCTTACAGAGTGTGGTCGTCGTTGTTGTCGCGATCGTCGTCACGATTGTTGTTGTAGCTGTCGTCGTCGTCGTCGTAGTTCAAGATCGTGGCTGGCTGTATGCTTATAGCATTCTGCACGCTTGTACCTGAATTTTCTGAGGCATAGTATTTAAGCTTGAACATCACTTCTCGGAGCTGCTTGGGGATTTCTGGGTCGGCGCTGGGTTCCCCTGGCGGCGCCTCCGGCGCCGCCCCTGGCGCGCCCCACGTCGTCGTCGTCGTCGTCCTGCCAAGAGTTCTCGGGGCGGTTCTGGAGGCCTTCGTCGCCGCGGCCGCGCGCTGCTCGAATATCTGGCTGCGGTTGGCCCCGAGCTGAGGTCAAGCGGATTTATGTTGATTGGATACCAGTCGGAGGATCGAGGTTCCATGCTCGAGGTTCGCAGCGTGGCTAACAGGGCGTTCTCCGAGGGGGTTGCGCCATTCCGCCGTGTGGTCGTCGCAATTGCAGCTAATTGCTTACAGGCGCGCCGCGGTGCTCGCAAGCTACTGGGGTGCCGACAGAATGGCAATCGTGTTCTCGCAGTCGTTCGCCCGTGTCGTGCGTGTTTGCAGGCACCATTGTTGCCCTACGACAGAAGTGTAATCAACGCTTGGTTGTGGTGTCCGCGAGCGTTGTGGTTTCACGCGCGCGTTGCTGTGTGCGCAGGCGTTGCGGTGAACGCATCTGCTGTGGTGCGCGCAGGCGCAGTGGTGCACGCAAGCACTGTGGTGCACGCGTGCAGCACGCACCGGGAACAGGCAGTGCGGTACAGATTTGAGAATATTTCGTGCGATGCTTCGGTTTTGGAGGCGGTAGAAGCAGAGTATTGTAGCACCCTTCCACTGTGCAACGTAGATGCAAGACAGTGGCAGCAAACACCAACGCAAAATAATGCTCGAAGGAGAGCATGAAGGATGCAAACGCTGTGGTGCTACACGACGGTGCACGTACGCGCTGCGCAGTACAACGGCGACGTGGTGCACGTGGCTGCGGCGGTGCATACTGTGCTGCGCACTGTAGTGCCTGCTATGATGCGCCCAGACGCTGTGGTGCCCGAGCCACACGGCGGGAGGTGGTGGTTACGTTATGCCCCCCGCCCCCAGATCGCGCGTTATGGCCGCGAACGTATGAACGCGGTCTTCCGGAGAACCCCTCGCAAGGCCCAGACGCTCGAGGATGGAGCTGAGAGCTGGGGGCGCCTTGGGCCTGTGGCGCCCCGAGCAAACCCCGACCTTTTTTTTTTTTGGTTTGTGGTTGTTCGGACGGCCGGGGATGGCCCTCGACCTTGAACCTTCCTCGGCGGCCAACCCCGGGAGGAAGCGAGGGGGGACGGGCCGTCCCAGAGGGCTCGGAAGCCCCCCCGGTCTTCGGAGCCGTCTTCCAAAGCCTTGCCCGACGGCGCGGGAGGCCCTATCAGAGGGCCAGAGGGCTTCCGAGGAGCCCCGCTCGCCGTTTGAGAGCCCCGAATCATCAGGGGTAACTCGGGTCAGGGCTAACTCGGGTTCCTTTTTCGGGAATCCAAACCCGAGTTACCCCGGACCCGAGTTACCCCGGATAACTCGGGCGCCCAAGCCGTTTGAGAAGGCCTTCTCCTCCTCACTTCCCTCCCCGCTCGCCGCCGACTTCTGCACCCTCCGCGCGGCGGGTGCCGCCGCGGAGCGGCCGCGGTGGCCACCGCGGCCGCCGCCGCGGCCTCGGCGGCGGCGGCCCCCTGCGGTCTCGGCGGCGGCCGACACGCGGCGCGGCACCTGCCGCGCGGGGGGTGCGGAAGGTGCAGGTCGAGGGGGCTGGTCTCCGCCTCGGCGGCGCGCCCAGGGAGAGGAGGAGGAGGAGGAGGAGGAGGAGGAGGAGGAGGAGGAGGAGGAGGAGGAGGAGGAGGAGGAGGAGGAGGAGGAGGAGGAGGAGGAGGAGGGAGGAGGAGGGCGGAGGAGGGCGGAGGAGAAGGAGGGCGGAGGAGGAGGGCGGTTTCCCGTTCTCGGGATGCGTTCCGGCAGCTGCGCCTCGCCGCGAGCGTTCCAGGGGGCGCCTGGATCGTCCCGAACGGCCGCCCGAGAGTCAATCGTTGACCGAGAGGGGGGCAGACCTTCTCAGAAGGCGGCGGGCTTCTCACAAGTTGTCCGGCCTTCGAGAAGATCTCCTTGTCCTCGGGGGAGGCGCAGGAGACTTCTCAGGAGGCCCAGGCCTTCCGAACCCTCTGAGAAGGTCCGCCAGTTCTTACTTCTCCCCCAGGCTAGCCGCCGAATGGCCGCAGGGCCCAGTTTTCGGCCACAGTCCGGTTGGGCCCTTGCGCGCGCTCCATGACGCTGGCAGAAAACCAGCGTCCGTCTCATCGTCCGCTGACGGGGGAGGGGAACGATGGCGCTCACGTGTGAACCGCCAGCCCCAGTCGATCAAGCCGGTACGGCGCCCATTAAAACGCAGCATCTTTGGTGCAGGCCTTGTTGGAACGCTTGTTTGGTGCCCAAGCAGGGCCTGCGCTATCTCGGACGCTTCTCGGGTCACTTGTGGCACCCGCGGGGCGTCTTGGGGCAGTCCTGGTGGCCTTCTGGGGCGTCTCTGGAATGCCAATTGGGGTATCTTGGGATGCCTCTTTGGGAGCCTCCATGGAGGAGGCTCATTTGGACCTCTTGGGCGTCTCTCCGGGGGCATCGTGGAGGCCTCGTGGATGCGTGTTGGTCGCATTTTGGGGCCTCTTGGGCTCTGCTGGTGTGGAGGGGAGAAAACTCCTTGCTATCCCACCCCATTCATCCTCCTCCCTCCCCTTTCGTCCCCTTCCCCCCCTCATCTCTCCCTCCTTCTCCCCCTCCTATTCGCCCTCCTCCTTCCTCCCTCCTTCCCCATCCATCCTCCTCCTCCTCCTCCCTCCTCGCATCCAGGTCCATCCCTCCTTCCTCGTTCCTCCTCCCCCCCCCATGGCAGGCCTGGTGCAGGCGGCCGTGGAGGACGCGGTCGGGCACAGCAAGTTCGGCGTCTCGGTCACGAGCATGACCGAAGCCACCATGCAGCAGGCCGGCCTGGGCGCGTGCCTCGGGGGTCGACGCGGAACACTCGAGGCCTGCCAGATGGGGTCGGAGGGTCGCGACGCATCGTGCATCGGCGATGCGGCTCGACGTGGAGCCCGATGTCCTCCACGCCGACGTCGCCGCTGCACCGCCGATGTTGCCGATGCATCGCTGATGGATCTGCGGTGCGGCACGATCCTCCGACCCCGTCAACTCAAGAGAACACGGCACACACTCATAGACATTCGTAGCTCCGCTCGGATATCTAGGATCGGCGCTGGTCGCCCACGGCGGCGCATCCGGCGCCGTCCCTGGCTCGTTCCGCCCGCCAGGGATGGAGGCCCAGCGCCGATCCAAGCAACCCGCGCGGGAGGAGGAGGATTATGTTTGCTTCCATCCTGTGCAGTGTTTGAAGTGCTAGTGCATGATGGGCTTGTTTTCCACCACCACCACCAAAGTTGGATGGGGGAAAGAAAGTGGAGGAGGAGGAGGACGAAGAGGAGGAAGAGGAGGAGGAGGAGGAGGAGGAGGACCCACTCCCCCTCCAACTTATGGTGGTGGTGGTGGTGGAATACAGGCCCATCAGTACATGTTCGTTTTTTCGTGGAGGCTTGCTCGAGCCGGCATGTCCTTGCCAGCCGATGTGCCTCGCCGAGAGCGTCCTGGCGGTGCCAGAATCGTTTCTGACGGCCATCGGAGGCCCGACTCGCGGCCAGAGAAAATTTGTCCGAGCGTTCCGATTCGATGTCGGTCATGTCCTGCGCAGTCCGATCGGATTCCGACATTCCGACGGTCCGATGATGTTTGATGCATGCTTGGCGTTGCTGTGCGTCCTGGCGCGGCCGATCCAGTTCGATCGGGACTCCGTACCGATGCGGCCCGATTCGATGCACATTTTAATTCGATCCGACTCCCCCTTTCGATGCTGGCTGGAGACTGTTTTTAGGGTCCAGCGATTTCCTGGGTGATCGGGCCCTCCCCGGCCCCCCTCTCCCCCTGGATAGCCTGGCCTCGTCAGTTGCGCAGGTTCGAAAGGGGTACACAGCATTACTGGTGCGCACGGGTGTGCGTGGGGCTGCCCAGAGCGAAAAGGTTAGGTCATCGTCCAGCACCTCCTCTTCCCCTCCTCACCCCATAACTTGGGTGGCCGGGCCGCCGAAAACGCAAACACGCTGTCCTTAGAGGATTAAGAAGTGGCATAAACATAACAGCTCGGAGGTCCGCGCGGATTTCTCGGATCGGCGCTGGGGCTCCCCGGCGCGACTCCGGCGCCGCCCCTGGCGCGCTCCGTGCGCCAGCGAGGGGGGTCCCCAGCGCCGATCCGAGAAATCCGCGCGGACCTGCGAGCTTTTGTTTCTATGTTTATGCCACTTCGTTCCCCTAGTCCTGCTCCTGTCCCCCCAGTGACCCACCTTCCTTCAGGGCAGGCTGCCGTCACAGGCCTCGTCCAGAGAGGAAGTTGGCGTCGAGGAGATCGGCGGCCCGGCCAACCACTGCCGACGGCGCCGCTCCGCCAAGCGGGCGCGCAAGAACCAAGCAAGGGCTCCCAACTTCGCGCTTCGCGCTGCGCGAAGCGCGAAGCGCGAATAACTTCGCGCTCTCGCGCCGCCCTCCCAAAGGGAGAATAGGAGGACGAGGAGGAGGGGGGAGAAGGAACGAGGACCGCGAAGCGCGAAGCGCGAATAACTTCGCGCCCTCGAGGGAGCCCTTGAAGAAAGGGCCGAGCAAAAAAAAGGGCGTGCCGCCGTGCTGCCGACGCCGCCGATGCATCTCGAAGAAAAGAAAAAGCGCCATGAACATAAACTTTTGGTGCTCCGCGTGGATTTCTTGGATCCGCGCTGGGACCCCCCCGGCGCCGCCGATGCATCGGCGACGAGGCGCGGTCCTTCGACAAGAGGGGATCGGCGGCGAAGTCCGAATCCTACCCTCGCCGATCGACAAGTCAGGCAACTCGAAGGGCGGCGGGGTAGGGTTCGGAATTCGTTGAACACGTCGCGAAACACGAACCCTCCCCCCGTCTTTCATCGATTCAGTGGAATCGGTGGTTGGTAGGGGTAGGGTTCGGATAACGCCACCTATGAAAGGACGATAAGCATCGAAGAGCGAAATACATCATACCATCATTTCTCAGAGGTCCGCGCGGATTTCTCCCGGAGGGCGTTGGGTCCCCCTGGTGGCGCCCCAGGCGCAGCCCTATGTTCGCTCCGCGCGCCAGGGAGGGGGGGGGTCTCAGCATCGATTCAAGAAGCCCACGCGAACCTCAGAGAGAATCATTGTTATCCAGGTCAGCAGGGAGGTTGGCGCCTGAGATCTCGGCGTCGCATTGTTTGTCACACACTCGGCACCCTCGCACAGCCTCTGGCCCAGGTTGAGCCAGCGCGAGAAGTGCCGCAGAGAGATGGGGTCTATGCCGGGAGGAACGGATGCACGCAATCATGCCGAGGTTCCCGTCTCGGGAGTGCCTCCGGCCTTCTGCGAAGCTTGTTGAGCCTTCTCCGCAGCCACATAAGTCAGGAGGGAAGGAAACACACAGACACAATTAATCGTCGAGTCCCAGGAAAATATAGGAAAATATGGGAATTGGGCGGGAAGACAAAAACCCAGAAAATATGGGAAAATATGGGGAATCCTTTTATTTGTGTGTATTTATTTGTGTGTCCCAGGGCCCCTTCAATAAGGCCAGAGGCCTTCTGCAGAAGCCCCGCCGCCTTCCGAGAAGGCCTGCCCCCCTCTCACGTTTCCCTTTCGTTTTCGGGTCACGTTTCGGCGCGGCCGCTCGGGACGACCCGGGCCCCCCCTGGAACGCCCTCAGCGGGGCGCAGCTGCTGGAACGCATCCCGAGCGCGTAAACACCGCCGAGGGTTGTGGACGACGGTCCATGGAGCCGGAGGCATGTTGCCAAACAGTTCTGGGGTGCTCAAATCTTGTTCTAAGCATGCCAGAACCATGTAAGCAGCTGGGTTTTGAGGATGTGTAGAAGATGCGTCAGACATTTGGAACACGCTTCTAATTCAATCGGGGGTGGACAGAACCCCCAACAGTGACACGTCGATTAGTGAATTGTTTGTTTTCGGTTCTCGAGAGGGCGCCGTGGCCGTTGTTTTCCTGGCCTGCGCCCGCCAGGTTTGGGCCTCAGGTCGTTTTCACTAAACCACGTTTTTTACTTAAGGGAGGTCTGTCCATCCCCGATTCAACGACAGGCTTGTGAGGGCGTCCACTGCCATGGCATCCGCAAAAAAGCCGAGGGGCGCCCGGCGCGCGCCGCCGCGAGAGGTTCAGGAGGGGAAAAAACACACAGACATCATTATTCGTCGGCTCTTGGGAACATGTGGGAAAATATGGGAGGGGGGGGGGGAAGACAGAAGCCCAGGAAATACGGAAAAATATATAGGGGATCGTTTTACTTGTGTGTATTTACTTGTGTGTCCTGGGGCCCCTTCAGAGGTGGCGGCCACGCCGTGGCAGCCCGACGGCACCAACCCGCCCGACGACGGCACCACGGCCGCCGCGGACGGCCCCGCCGCGGAGCTGGCGGCCCCCCGCGAGGCCTCCGCGGCGCGGGCGCGGCCTCGCCCCCGGCGGCGCGCTCTCCTCTCGGGGGCGGCAAGGAGGGGGGGTGATGACTAGGGGGGGGTGGATAACATGGCGGGGGCCATGATATTTCCCCAGATTTCATGGCGCCCCTTGTTGTTTCATTACGTCCCTGGCCCCCCCGCTGGGCCGCGCACATGCCGCCGGTCATGATTAGCACCCCCCCCTCTTGGACACCCCCCTCTTGGCCGCTCCCGACCCTCGTAGGCGGCAAAGAGGGGGGGTGGTGACTAGGGGGGGGGGAGATCGTGGCGGGGGCCACGAGATCTCCCTCAGATTTCATGGCGCCTCTTCTTATTTCAGTGCGTCCCTGGCCCCTCCCCCCTGGGCCGCGCACGTGCCGCTGGCCATGATTTGCGCCCCCCCCTCTTGGATGCCCCCCGCTTGGCCGACCCCGACTTCGGGGAGCCTTGAGACGGGGGTCAATGCAAGCTTTAGCTCGGGCAGGATCTCCTACAGGCGGATTTTGGACGACAAAGATAGCAATAAGTCGGAAAAGTATGCAACAATGGTCAAAAAGTCATCGACAAGTCGTCCCCAGACTATTTTCTGACTGCTTTTGGACATTCCTCCTGTAGAGGGACATGCCCGACTTAATGCAAGCTGGGGGCCAGCCAGAGCGCCGGATCTTGCAGGATCCTGCAAAGCGCGGGCTGCATTGACCCGGGCCGGCGCGCAGGATCCTGCAGGATGATTTTGCAGGATCTTGCGAAGCCCGACTGACCCGGGTTCACATTGTCGGACGGGGCTAGGACGAGGATAAAGCTGTTCTAGAGCGTTCCGGAACGCTCTCAGAGCAGAGCGTTCCGGAACGCTCCGAGAAGGCCGCGGCGCCTGATACATCCTCCAGAGCCGCTGGATTTCAGAGATTCTCGATTGATCCTCACCCGATGTTATCCTCGTCCTGGCTTCGTCTTAAGCTGCAGGGTCCTGCATGCTTCTGTAGGGCCCTGCGAAGCCTGACCGGCCTGGGTTCACCCGGGCCAGAGGCAGTGCGTCCCCGAAGCTTGGGGCCCTCGGCGGCTCCCCGCCCTCGCTGGCCCTCGCTTGAGACCCCAGTTCAACTCGTGGGCCCCCAAACGGGGTGGTGACCGCACCGTGCGGTGAGTCGGTGGGGATTCGGGGTCACCGCACGCACGGTTTTGGGACTCGGGACGTTCTCCGAGGACGTCTCGGGCGACTGGGGCCTCCGAGGTCCCAAGGCCGTGCGGTGACGGACCGTGCGGTGAGGTCTTGGGGGGGGGGGTCGAGGTCACCGCACGGTCTGTCACCACACCGTTTCGGGACTCCAAATCAACTCAAGTTCGACTCAGGTGGGACTCCGGCTCGACTCAAGGTCGCCTCGAATCGCCGGACGTTCGAGGCCTTCTCGACGCACGAGCGGAGCGAGTGGCTCCAGGGAGGCCCCCAGGAGGAGCAGCCAGGGTGCCAGGTGCCGCTGCGCTCCCCTCGCGGTCGCCTCTCTCTGTGGGGCGGCCTCCCGGGGAGGCCTCGTCGCCATGGCTGCATTTGCCAGCCTCGAGCTCCTGGTCAGAACTTACCAGCCTGGAGCATATCCCTATCCCTATGCTGGGCACCTCCTCATCACGATGCCAATCTTAGGGATTCCCTTATTTTTTGAGGGCGGATGCCTAAGATTGTCATCGCCTTTTGGCGTGTCAATCTTAGGGATAGGGATACGTTCGAGGCCTAGAACGCACCCCGGGAGAGGTCCAAGGAGTGGCGGCATCGGCTTGGTTTCCCACCTGCGGGCCTTCGGCGAGCCTCCGCGACCCTCCGCGGCCCTCCGCGGCCCTCAGCGGCCTCCGGCGGCATCAGCCCGACGGCGACGGCGGTGGCCACTGCGATTGGCGACGGTGGCGACGGCGACGGAGGGGGGCACAGGCGCCCCCATAGGGCTGTCGGCTCAGTTGGGTGTTGGGTCCTCGCTGTGAAAAGATTATTGGCGCCTCCTCCGAATCCCCCTCTCCTCAGCCTCCTCCTCCTCCTCTTTCTCTCATCCTCCTCCTCTTTCTCTCCTCCTCCTCCTTCTCCTCCTCCTCCTCCTCCTCCTCCTCCTCATTCTCTTCCTCTTCCCTCCCTCCTTCTCCCTCCTTCTCCCTCATTCTCCCCCCTTACCTACCTTGCCTCTCAACTGGGCAGCTGCAGCCACTCTTGTGAGCTTTTGGGAGGTCCAGCGGAGCGACGGCGCGACGGCGTCCGCGCACCTGAACTGGGCCTTGCTCTCCATAGGGGCGGCCAGCTGCGCCACTGTCGCCACGCTCGTGGGCTCCTGGGAGGTCCAGCGGGGCGACGTTCTACGCGAACCCAGTCCAAGCGTCGCCCTCCTCTCCAGTGGCTGCCAACTGCACAACCATCGCCAGTTCCGTGCGCTCCTTGGAGGTCCAGCAGGGCGACGCCTCACAGGGAGTCAAGCGTGACGCGTAACCGTCGCCTTTCAGTTGCGCTCCAGAACAGACACGCCAGAGTCTCGTCACGCAGGCGGTCGCCACTTCGCTCCGGCCCTGAGGCGCGACCTGGGCTTGGACCTTCTCGCAAAGGGGGGGCGCCAGTCGAGCTGGCGTCGCGCCAGCGGAATTTCAGTCCCTGCGCGGAGCACTGCAGAGAAGCCTTTGTCAACTTAATTGAATTGCGAGGAAGTCTCGAGCGAGAGCGCCGCTCCTGAGTTCGGGGGCCTCTCTGGCCAGGGTGTCTCGGGGTGAATTGTGAGGAGGAGGAGGGAGGAGGAGGAGAGAGGGAGGAGGAGAGAGAGGGAGGAGGAGGAGGAGGAGGAGGAGGAGGAGGAGGAGGAGGAGGAGGAGGAGGAGGAGGAGGAGGAGGAGGAGGAGGAGGAGGAGGAGGAGTAGGAGGAGGAGGAGGAGGAGGAGGAGGAGGAGGAGGAGGAGAGAGGAGGAGAGGGAGGAGGAGAGAGAGAGGAGGAGGAGGAGGAGAGGAGGAGGAGGGAGGAGGAGGAGGAGGAGGAGGAGGAGGAGAAGCCTTTTTGTCAGAATCGCACGCCGTGCGTGCCAGCCCGTCGCCCCTGCTGTTGCTCACCACCCATGCTCCCAGAGGGGCCTTCCAGATAGGGGTCCGAGTAGATGGGATCCGAGGCAAGGGCTCCCTCGAGGGCGCGAAGTTATTCGCGCTTCGCGCTTCGCGGTCCTCGTTCCTCCTCCCCCTCCTCCTCGTCCTCCTCTTCTCCCTCTGGGGGGGCGGCGCGAGAGCGCGAAGTTATTCGCGCTTCGCGCTTCGCGGAGCGCGAAGCGCGAAGTTGGGAGCCCTAGTTCCAGATGGGGGTCCGAGTAGATGGGATCCGAGGATCGCGACGCGTCGCCGATGCATCGGCGATGCGGCTCGATGTGGATCGGGTCGGGCGAAAGGGGGGGATTGGGAAAGGGGGGGTTACGAAATTTGCTGCATGCAGCTGGTTTCGGCCTCACCGAGGGGCCCATTCCTCGATACATAGCGCCTCCGGCGCCGGGAGGCGCCGGGAAAATCAGCTGCGTGAGCTGATTCTCAAACCCCCCCTTTGCTATCCCCCCCTTTCGCCCGACCCGAGTGGAGCCCGATCTTCTGCGCACAGACGTCGCCGCTGCATGGCCGACGTCGCCGATGCATCGGCGATGCGGCGAGATCCTCCGACCCCATCTACTCCGACCCCAACTCGGAGGCCTCCATTCTCTGCGTCCGCTCGACAAACTGCTCATTATTCTTGCAATGCCCTACTTCGCGTCGCGGTTGCATCGTATTGGCCCACGGTTACAAAACAACGCGTGCCATGTTTTAATGTCATTCGTTGAGGATGGGTTCGTCGACTATTCCACCTGCTGCATGTGGGCCGGGCGCGTCACTGAGTAGTTATATGCAGTTGTTTGCGGCAAGTCCAGCCTCCGCGCCAATCCAGCATTGTTGATGGCGGCGCTTCGAGGGGGCATAGGAGGCCGTCACACGTGCAATTTGCCGTTCGCAGTTTTTGAGTCAATAGTCTCTAATCGCTCCCGCCGTTGATTTCCCAGGGGCTGCCTCACTTCCCGTCTGCCATCATCCACCTCCTCCCCCCCCGTGCCCCCTTCCTTTCTCTCATCTGCCCTCCTCCCCCTCCCCACGCTCCTCCGCCATCCTTCCAAGTCTCATCAACCTCCTCGATCGTCCTCATCCTCCTCGAAACTCCTCGACCCTGGACACTCGACCCTGCTCAGCCCTCGACGCTCCTCGACTCTCGATCGTCCTCGTGACTTCGTGACTTGTTGAAAGCGTTGGCCCCCAGGAGGTCTGGGCGCTTCCCCCGTGCCAGCCTTCACCCCGAGCAGTTCTCTGACGGCCATGGGTCCCGGTAAGTCCGTCGTTTTCTGCCTTCCTTCTTGTTTCGCAGAGTGAGAAGGTGCGGTTCTTCGATACCCATCCTTCTCAGAGGCCGCCACGGCGCCAAGGGGGTGTGGAGCTATTCCCGCTTCTCGGTTCACGAGTCGCGATTCCTCGTCCTCATCCTCCTCGTCATGGTCTTCATGCCTTTTTTGGTTTGGGGGGCGGCGAGAACACACGAAGTTTATCGCGCTTCGCAAAAGCGCGGAGCGCGAAGCGCGAACATAATTAGCTGTCCCTGCTTCCTCCTCTCGGTCCCCTCTTTACTCGATCCTTCCTGATGCTCTCCTGCTGAATCTTCGATCACCCCCCTCTTTCCTCGAGGCGGGAGGAAACGCATCAGCAGGGCGAGTATGGAGGAGGAGGAGGAGGAGGAGGAGGAGGAGGAGGAGGAGGAGGAGAATAACAAGGACGAGGGCGAGGACGAGGAGGCGGAAGGAGGAAGCGGAGGAGGAGGACGAGAAAGGCAGAGGGCGAGGAAGGAGGAGGAGGAAGAGGAGGAGGAGGAGAAAGATGAGGAGGATAAGGATGAGGATATGGACAAGGAAGGAGCAGGAGGAGGAGCAGGAGCAGGAGGAGGAAGGAGGGAGAGGAGGAGGAGGAGGAGGAGGAGGAGGAGGAGGAGGAGGAGGATCAGGACGAGGAGGAGGAGGAGGGGTAAAACAAACACGAGGGAAGGAGGAGGAGAGGAAGAAATATGAGGAAGGAGGAGTAGGAGGACGAAAAGGAGGAGGAGGCGGTGGAGGCGGACGATAACGAGGACGAGGGCGAGGACGAGGACGCGGAAGGAGGAAGTCGAGGAGGACGAGGATGGAGGAGGGCGAGGGAGGAGGAGGATGAGGAGGAGGAGGAGGAGGAGGAGGAGGAACAGGAGGATATTTAGGAGATGGAGGAGATGCAGGGAGCCTGTGAGCCCAGGTCGTGTCCCCTTACTGCGTCAGGATCGAGGACCGCAGATCGCATCCGCTCGCGGAGGAGGAGATGGAGGAGGAAAGGAGGAGGAGGAGGAGGAGGAGGAGGAGGAGGAGGTGGAGGAGGAGAGGAGGAGAGGAGGAGGAGGAGGAGGAGGAGGAGGAGGAGGAGGAGTTGGAGGAGGAGGAGGAGGAGGAGGAGGAGGAGGAGGAGGAGTTGAGGGAGGAGGAGGAGGAGGAGGAGGAGGAGGAGGAGGAGGAAGAGGGGGCGAAGCAGGAGCCGCCGAACCGCCTCCGCCCTCGCCAGGGCGGCGGACGAGAGGCGGCCTCTGGTCTCCCTCTGCTGGTGGGCCTCGCCCTCGTCGCCGGGGCCTCGGCCATGCGGTGGGAGGAGGGAACAGGGGGGAGGTGCAGGACGAGGAGGAGGAGGACGAGGAGGATGAGCAGGAGGAGGAGGACGAGGAGGATGAGCAGGAGGAGGAGGACGAGGAGGAGGAGGAGGAGGAGGAGGAGGAAAGAGGAGGGGCAGGAGGAGGAGGAGGAGGAGGAGCAGGTCCGTAGCCATTCTGACGCAACTCCGTAGTGTTTCGCTCAGGGTCTTGGCCTTTTGGCAAGGGGGATTTCGCGGCCTCCGCAGCTTTCCCTGGCGTTCACCCGCCTGGCACATTCTCCAACTACGTTTCCAGTACAGAATTGCACTCATTCTGCTCCTTCCTCCTGGCCGCTGTGGTGCCCTGACCTCATGCTTGCTCTTTTGCGCTTTGGGTCAACATGATCTTGAGACGTCTGAGGCCGCTGGTGAGTAGAAGGCGAAAGGCGGGACGAGAGGGGGCAAGCAGCAGGCGACGGCAATGGCGTGCCCAGCCTGTAGGTATGTCTGAGGGAAATGTCCCCAACGCCACGAGTGCACCTGAATGTTGTTTGTTGACGATCTTGAATCGTGCTCGAACACCATTCCTGGGACTCGGACACCGCGAAACAACGTAATTGTTTGCGCCCTGTCAATCCGGAACCGTTCCGAGACATCGTTTCTGGTACGTGGGCAATGAGAACCAATGAAGATTTGACAAACGTTTAAAGCGAAAGTGCGTGGCTCTACGGCGGGAGTTCCATGTCAGAACGGAAGCGCCCTCAATCCGTGAAGTTCCTGCATGCTTAAGAAATGAATGTGCCAGGCGGTCAGGCGATAGCCACATGATGAAAACGAGCCGCCCTCAATCCGTGAAGCTCCTTCGTAAACTTTTAAAACGACTTTGCGCGGCGCTAAGGCGAGAGCCACATTTAGAACAACATCTCGCACTCAGTCAGTGAAATTCTCCGCTTCTTGAAAGCCAGGTAGTCACCCGCCCTCCATCTGTGAAGCTGTTGCAACTGCTTAAGCCTCAGGCTTAGAAGTGGTAAGCATGCATCAGGCGAGAAGCCCGGCCCGCCCTTCGGACTGGCCTCGGGGTGCGACAGGGATGAGTTCTTGAAAAAAGAAAGGGGATGGAGGAGGAGGAGGAGGAGGAGGAGGAGGAGGAGGAGAAGCAGAGGTGTCCTCGCCCCTTCTCCTCCTACCCCCCCCCCCTCCCCCCCGTGGCAGCGCGCGCCTCCCTCGGCACGGGGAGGAGGAGGGGGAGGAGGAGGGGGGCCGGAGGACGAGGAGGGAGAGCGTGGCGAAAGCCTCACCCCTTCTCTCCTACCTCTCTCCCTGCTCTCCTCCGGCACGGGGAGGAAGGGGAGAGGAGGAGGGGGGCGGAAGGGGAGGAAGAGGGGGGACAAAAATGGCGAATGCCACGCCCCCTCTCGCGTGGTTCGGCCATGGGGTGGGGTCTCCTGCTTGTGTTTGGTCTTTGCTGCTTTTCGTAGGTAAGTCTTCACGCGTCGCGTATTCCCACCAGATCGCCTTGCCTGCTGGCTCAGACGACGCCTACCGCTCCCTGTCCGCTGCCTCGGAGCCGCCGACCAAAAAAAATCCCACCAGACCTGAGGCCCCGCCGGCTTTAGGTAATTCGTCTTTGCGCGGCCCGCTCTGACTCGACTCGCCGTTTGCGCTTTCGCTTGCGGCTGCTGACTAAAAAGTATGACCACCAACGCGTCCAGGAACGATGCCCAAGGGAGTTGCCCTTATTGGGGAAGCGCGGCATCATGTGGAGAGTTCGGGGAGCCTCCGTGGCCAGAGGCTTCCTGGAGGATGCATGTCGGAGTCTCTTTGGATGACTCCCGGAGTCTCTTGGAGATCTCTTGGCCTCCTTGGGCCTCCTGGCGCTTCTTCGGGGCCTCTTGGGCGCCATGCGCCATGTGGCCTCTTGGGACGTTTTGGGGGCCTGTGGGCGGTGTTCAGAGCGTTCTGGGGCGTTTTGGAGGCCCCTTGGCGCTGCCTGGGGGCCGCTTGGGGAAACACTTGGCAGCGTCTCCGGCCGTCTTGGGGTCATCTTGGAGGCGATCGATGAACGAATGGGGGAGCTCAACAGCTGTGCCGCCCCAGAAGGCCAACATGGGCCTATAAGCTAAGGAAACGCATTCCTTCGTTCTCATTTGCGCATTCTCCCCCCGCCCTCCCCCCTGTCCAGACCTAGGGGGACGGGGGAGTGGAGGGGACAAGCTAGGTGCGCTCGCGTCATATCTGACGTCCGACCCCTCCCTCCCATACTTTACCCTGGCGTAGATCTCCTCTCTATTCGCACAGTCGGATGCCGAGCAGGGCAACGATCGCGAGAGGGTACGCGATGCATGTAGAGCACGGCATTCCATTGCGTGGAAACACGGCAGAGCGTAGCATGCCATAGCAAGGAGTGGTATTGCGAAGTGAAGCGTTGCAACACCAAGCATTCCAACGCAAAGCATGGCATCGCACAGCGGCGCAGAGCACAACACCGTACAGCATGTCATGGCATGGCGCTTGGTTCCTTGGAGGGGAAGTGGATCGTTTTCGAGAGGCCTGGGCCGGTCTGGGGTCGTGGCTCCATGCCTAGCTCCTTGGGCTCCCCGAAAAGCTCCACACAAGGCGGGGCTGATGGAAAGCACCCGCTGGCTCTGCTTTCAACATCGCCGTTTCAAATTCAAAGCAGAAACGGGACTCCCGCTTGATACTTCCTGAAAGCGACGACGCCCCAACGTGAGGGGGGGGGCTTCTGCGGCCGAAAAAATCGTACAATCAACACCGAATGTGGAACCACTTCCAGTGTTTTTTTCTGGTGTGGGCATTTTGCAATTAAGTTTTGGGGCTTATTTGGAAGGACCGAGAACGCCCGCGCTGCAGCGGGAGCACGATCTGGAACAATCAGAGGTGCAGAAATGGGACCACCGCTTGAGCGGGAACAATGTTTGAGAACAAACCCAAGCGAAAACCTAACTCCTAGGAAATCTGTGTGTAAAAGATCAGTACGCGGAGGGGTTCTGGACATTTTGCGGACGTCATCAGTGAAGAGAGGAGGACAGGATTCATTTTGTGCATTTGTGGAGGGGGGACAAGAAACGCCCTGAACCACCTACGCCCCGAAGGGCTGGTTGAATGCCATGCCTCTGCCCGTTCCGTGCCCCAGGGCCGTCGGAAATCGTCCGGGGCGAAACATTTGCGAGGAGGGGCCTCGGGGAGGAGTCAAGGATTGATTTCGAAGGGATTTCGGAGTCCGTCTGGAGTTCGGAGTTCGGTTTTCAGACGTCTCCGCAGGTATCTGCAGGTTTTCCCGTCTCGAGGTGCGCCTGGCCGAGAGCAATCTGGGGGTGCCCCAATCGTCCTTTTGGGCCATGGGCCCACCTTGGATGGTCCCGCGGCCCGGACAGCGTGCCCTGGAGGCAGAAACCAAGGAAGCACGCCCTGGCTGAAAACTTGAAACCTTCGTACAGTCGAGTTTGATTAGTAGGTCGACCCTGCCCAAGCAAGGGTACCCGTGTGTCCTGCGTTTTGCGACCCATGCCCTCTAATGCTCCACTGGCAATGTGGCCATCGGAAGGTTCTCGTGTCCTCTCGCGTGTCCTCTCCAGTGCACCCCGACTGTATGCCGTTGCGCACAGACGGCCCCCCCAGGTATCGGGGGAGCGTAAGACCCGGGTTTGCCAGGACTCGGGTTCGCCACCGTTTTTTGACGACCGCGGTTCGGATTTTGACGAGGAGGAGTTTTGTGGGATGTCTGCAGCGGGAGGCCTCGTCAAAATGCAGGCTCGGCCTCGTCATTCTTTTGACGACCTCGTCGGGGATTTCCGAGTCCCCCGTACCCAGGTCTTACGTCTCCCCGAAGGCAGTCCTGGCTGGCTTCCACAGGCCCTCCGAGTAGTCCTCGTTGGCCTCGGCAGGCCCACATGAGCAGCTGGGGGCGGCCTCGGCACCCACCCGCGCCGCCTCCGGCGGCGCCCCTGCAGCGCTTCGCTCGATGAGCCTCAGGACGTGTGTTTCTAGGCTTCCTAGATGGGGTCGGAGTAGATGGGGTCGGAGGATCGCGCCGCATCGTCGATGCATCCCCGATGCGGCGCGATGTGCAGCCCGATTTGCTCCACGTCGACGTCGCCGATGCCTCGCCGACGTCGCCGATGCATCGCCCGTGCATCGCCGATGCATCGCCGATGCATCGTCGATGTATTGGCGATGCGGCGCGATCCTCCGACCCCATCTACTCCGACCCCATCTAGGAGGCCTCTAGTGTTAGCCCAATGTGTGTTAACCCCGTTCGGCCTGTGTCGGCAATCGTTACGCCACGTGCGTCGTATTGAAGGGCCTCGATGGACCAGCACACCTTGGCGCTAACACACGTTCTGAGGATCATCGATCCGCGACCCAGGGTCGGTCGGGGTGTCGAGACCGCCCCAGAACACTCTGGGCTTCCCAGATGGGGTCCGAGTAGACGAGGTCGGAGGATCGCGCCGCATCGCCGAGGCATCGACGATGCGGCTCGACGTGGAGCCCGTGTTTCCCCACGCCGACGTCGCCGATGCATCGCCGATACATCAGCGATGCATCGGCGAGGCGGCGCGATCCTCCGACCCCGTCCACTCGGACTCGGACTCCCCATCTGGGAGGCCTCAAGATTCGGGTCGGGCGAAAGGGGGGGATTGGGAAAGGGGGGGGTACGAAATTTGCTGCATGCAGCTGGTTTCGGCCTCACCGAGGGGCCCATTCCTCGATACATAGCCGCATCCGGCGCCGGGAGTCGCCGGGAAAATCAGCTACTTGAGCTGATTCTCAAACCCCCCCTTTGCTATCCCCCCCTTTTGCCCGACCCGAAAGATGCTCGGGGGGCCTGTCGAGGCCAGCCAAGACTGCCTGGGGGCACCGCCAGTGCGCAACCGTCGGAGGAGGAGGAGGAGGAGGAGGAGGAGGAGGAGCAGGAGGAGGAGAAGGAGGAGGAGGAAGGGTAGGAAGAGGAGGAGGAGGAAGGGGAGGAAGAGGAGGAGGAGGAGCAGGAGGAGGAGGAGGGGCAGGAGGAGGAAGAGGGCAGAGGCAGAGGGCGCAGAGGGCGGAGGCCCGAGCGGCGCGCCGACGCCGAACGCCGTTCGGAGGTCCGGGTCGTCGCCGCCGTCGTCGCCGGCCGGCGCCCCGCCGAGTGCGCCGTCGCCTTGGGCGTCGCCTGCCGGACAGCGCTGGCCTTCCGCCGCGGGCGGCGCCGGCGGGTCGCCGCGGGCGCCGCCGCCACGGCGGCGATCGTGGGGGAAAAACATGCGATGGGCACAGTTTCCACCACCACTACCATGTGTAGGACGGGGGAGGAGACGGGGGAGAAGAGAGGATCAGGAGGTCCTCCTCCGCTTTCTCCTTCTCCTCCTCCTCCTCCTCCTCCTCCCCCCTCCTCCTCCTCCTCCTCCTCCTCCTCCTCCTCCTCCTCCTCCTCCTCCTCCTCCTCCTCCTCCCTGTCCTACCTATGGCAGTGGTGGTGGAAAAGGGACCCATCAACATATCCGTATCCGCGGCCTCGCGGGCGGGGCCCCTGGGCCGCGACCCCGCTGGATGTACCAAGTGACAGGGGTCAATGCAAACGGGGGCCAGCCAGAGCGCCAGATCTCGCAATATCCTGCAAAGCCAGTTGGGCACTTGCCTGGACTAGCGCACAGGATCCTGCAGGATCTTGGAGGATCGTGCAGGGCCCGACAGGCGCGGGGTTGCATTGACCCGGGTCAGTGCGTCCCCGACCCGCGTATGTGGGGCGGTTTAGCTCCGGCCGAAACGTATCGGTGTGTCCTCGCGTCCGCGGGATTCGCGCCCCGTATCGGCCACGCGCAGAGGGGGTATGGGGCAGGGGGAAGGCCTCTTCTCAGAAGCACCCTATTGCCTCTTGGAAGGCGCGGGCCGCGGGCCTTCTCTGATAGGGCCGGCCGGCGCCTTCTGATAGGGCGACGAGATCTATGCATATCCACTGCTCCTGGCCAGGCCAATCCTGGGCCCAGGAGCGGTGTATACGCCCTCCTGGCCTGGCCAGGGAGGCATATACACATCTCCTGGGCCCAGGATGGGCCTGGCCAGGAGCAGTGGATATGCATAGATCTCGTCGCCCTATTCTGAGGAGCAGCCTTCTTCTGAGAAGCCTTCCCCCCCTCCCCCGACCCCCGCCGGTGCGCGCCGGATGGTCTGGTACCGGAAATTTTCGGTAGCGATTTCGACGCACCCCGAATTTCGGTAGCGACCGGATCTTCGTCTGAGGGCGTCGAAATAGCGGATTTCAGAACGCTCTGATACCGGTATTGGGCGCCACATTTCGGTTTTTCGGTAGCGGCCGATCTCTGCGGAGCGCTACCGGAAATTTTCGGTAGCGGACCATCGGGGAACCGTTCTCCACACCGCGAGGGCCCCTTCAGAGAAGCCTTCCCCCCCTTCAGAGAAGTGTATTTATTTGTGTGTCCCAGGGCCCCTTCAGAGAAGCCTTCCCCCCCTCCCCCGACCCCCGCCGGTGCGCGCCGCCAACCGTTCTCCACACCGCGAGGGCTTCGGTTTGGATACACCTTAGGCGATGCTTAAGAAAACCTAAGTTTTCGGCCAGAGTCTCGATCATTCTTAGCTTGCCAATGTAAATCCCAAGATTTTGATAGAAGTTCTGGGTTTTTATTCCAGTTCTGAGACTCTGAATTTCTTAGCCCATGGTTTCTTAAGCATTTCGCAGGGGATACGTCCGCCGCTCGCGAGGCGGAGGCCGCCGCGGGCGGCAACGGCGCGAGGCCGCTCGCGAGGCGTCGGCGCCGCCCGCGGGTCGTCGTCGCCCCGCCGCTGGCGTCGGTCGCCGTGCCCAGGCACCTGTCAGGAGGGAAAGAAACACACAGACACAATTAATCTGCGATTTCCTGGAAAATATGGGAAAATATGGGAAGTGGGGGGGACGACAAAAACCCAGAAAATATGGGAAAATATGGGAAAATATGGGGACACCTGGCGCTCTGTAACAGGGGATGTGTCGACCCCTATCCCAGGCTTCGACCCCTATCCCAGGCGCTCTGGGCTTCTCGGTTCGGGCTGGGCGAAAGGGGGGGATAGCAAAGGGGGGGTTTGAGAATCAGCTCACGTAGCTGATTTTCCCGGCGCCTCCCGGCGCCGGAGGCGGCTATGTATCGAGGAATGGGCCCCTCGGTGGGGCCGAAACCAGCTGCATGCAGCAGATTTCGTACCCCCCCCTCCCCCCCTTTCGCCCGGCCCGATCGGTGCACGGCCCCGATCGGTGCCCGTGCCCAGACACCTGGCGCTCTGTAACAGGGGATGTGTCGACCCCTATCCCAGGCTTCGTGGGGTTTCCAAATGGACCAGAAATTTGGGGCCCAACCCTGGGATATACGATGGTGGGGGTGTCCATGCTCGGCAGGGGTGCGTCCGAATGGCCCCTTTGGGGTGTATCCCAAGGTTTTCCCATTTTTCTGAGCGGCGAAACTTTTCGGGCGAAACTCGGGGATTGGGGGAGAAACATCGCCCGCGACTCTGGGCTTCTCGGTGCACGGCCCCGGGAGGTCCCGGAGCTCGGCGCGAGGTTTCGGGGGTTGCTCAGAGGTGCCCCTGGCCCAAGGGTGACCCCAGCTTTCCGCTCCGCTAGGGAGCCCCCGGGGCCCTCCGGGCCTTGTGAGGGGTGCTTTGGAGGCCGTGGGAGACTCCTTGGAAATCCTGGGGGCACCTTGGGCCTTGGGCCCGGGGCACTGCAACACCCGAAGTTTTTCCCCGGGTCTATTTCCGATGGTCCTTGAGGGCCTGAGGATGGGCCCCAGAGTCAGAGGGTCCGGGGTTCGCTAATTAGGGATTTGGCTTTCCTTTCAGAACGACCGAGGGACCTCCCCGAGACCCTCCGAAAACCCTCCCCGAAGGGTTCAGGGAGGCTTTTCGGAGGTCTGGGAGGGTTTCAGTTGTGGTTTGGTCGCCTTGGTGGGAAACCAGTCCTTGGCGAATCCTGGGCCTTTCTAACGATAACAGTCCCCAGAGGCCAAAAACGCGCAAAAACGCTCGGGCTGAGATAGGGCAAGTTGACGGGCATGACTGGGGGGGAGAGGCTGAAAAGCGCCAGTGACGTCACGATTTGCGCTAGTGCCGTCTTGGCATGCTGAAGAAAAGCTCGTGGCGCCGGCGCGAATCCTGACGTGACAAGGGGGGGGTCACGGGTGTTATCGCGAATCTTACAAAAAAAAACAAGCCCATGGCCATATCGTCGGGCGGGCGTCTGGCGGCGGGCGTCTTCGTCGGCCCTTGTCGGCGGGAGTCGCCGGTCGCCGTCGTCGGTCACCGCCAGCGCCGCTGCTTGTCGTCGTTGGCCGACGTCGGCAGGCGGAGGCCCCTGATGCTGCCGCGGGCGTCGACGACGACGGAGATGGACGACGAGGAGATCAACGAGGGCGACGGCGACGATGAGGACGACGACGACGACGTCGACGACGACGACGACGACGACGGTGACGCGGACGGACTACGAGGAGATCAACGAGGGTGACGACGAGGACGAGGGCGACTGCGACGCGGACGGACGACGAGGAGATCAACGAGGACAACGACGGCGAGGACGACGAGGGCCACGACGAGGACGACGACGACGGCGACGAGGACGGACGACGGTGGCGTCGTTGCGGATGCTTTCGCGTCGGTTGGGGAGGTTCTTGTCGCCCGCGGCTGCCCAGAGTGGGTCTTGGGCGAGTTTTGGTCAGGAGCAGTTGCGACGACGACGTGGGTGACGACGAATACGACGACAGGGACGACGCCGTCGGTCGATGTCGCCGTCGGTCTTTTGTCATCGTCGGCGCTCGCCGTCGTCGTCGTCGTCGTCGTCGTCGTCGTCGTCGTCGTCGTCGTCGTCGTCGTCGTCGTCGTTGGTCGTTGTCGCTCGCTGTCGGTCGTCGGGCGTCGTCGGTCGTCGTCGCCTTCGCCGTCGTCGTGATTTGTCCAAGCTCTTCCGGAGTCAAGCGGGAACAAGAGTGCAAAATTTGGGAGTTCCCTCGCTTGTTCACACTTGTCCCCGACGCGCAGATAGGCAGGACGGAGAGGGGAGAGGGATGGCGTAGCATCAGAAGCGATCGCTATCCGTACAGTCGAGACCCATGCCAAGAAATACCCGGCTTGCCTCCTGGGTTTCTTGGGTTTCGATGGTTTTGCTGTGGAGACCGCGACTTTCCCACACCGAAAATCAATGGACGTCCTGGGGTCTCAGGGCTGGGTTTCTTGTGGAAGGTTTCTTGTGGACTGGCCTTCACTGTAGCTGTCGGCTCCACCCCGCACCCCGGCCATCTCCACGTACGCATCTGCAGGGCCCTTCGGGCAGGCGCCCAAGATACGCGTGGCAGCATTTGCCCTTCTTCCAGTGGTCGCAGGGGCCGACGCCCAAGATACTCGTTGTGGCATATGGGGCCCCCTGGGGCGGTCTCGGGGCCCTCTTGGGGGGCTCTGGGGCCGTCTTTGGGGCGGTTGTTGGGGCCTCTCTTGAGCTGGTTTGGTGCGATCTCGGAGGCCGTCAGAGCCGCATTGGGCAGCTCTACTACTACTACTACTACTACTACTACTACTACTACTACTACTACTACTACTACTACTACTACTACTACTACTACTACTACTACTACTACTACTACTACTACTACTACTACTACTACTACTACTACTACTACTACTACTACTGACTACTACTACTACTACTACTACTACTACTACTACTACTACTACTACTACTACTACTACTACTACTACTACTACTACTACTACTACTACTACTACTACTACTACTACTACTACACTACTACTACTACTACTACTACTACTACTACTACTACTACTACTACTACTACTACTACTACTACTACTACTACTACTACTACTACTACCAGTACTACCACCACTACTACTACCACTAGTACTACCACTACCACTACCACTACCACTACCACGTCCACTACCACAACCATTACCACTATCAGTTCCACCACCATTACCAATACCAGTACTACAACGCGCGAGCACACTGAGATCAGACATTCCCCGGTGTGTTTTTTCGGAAACCGAATGGTCACACGTAAGCCAAACAGTTGGCTTTCGAAGACTCTGCAGCCCGACCCCGCTCGAAACATTCGCAAAAGAAGCGCCGCAGGAATCGTACATTCCCCGGTGCTACCGGAGAATGTGCGTTTTTACCCGGGGAATGTCCGATTTTCCCGGGCTAAGTACCGATCGCCCCCCGTGTGGCGCCCCCGCGTCCCCCCCCCCCCCGTGTCCAGGGGTTTCCAGGCGTTGGTTGGCCTTCCGCTAGGAGCGATGGCCAGGGCGGGGGCCACGGAGCACCGCATTCGCACCGCGCGGGCCGTTGCCTGGCGAAGGGAGGCTTGGTCCATTTGTCTCGAAGACGAAAAAATTGCATTCACATAAACTGTTGGCGCTCCGCGCGGAGTTCTTGCATCCGCGCTGGGCCCCCGCTCCGCGCGCCAGGGAGGGTGGTCCAGCGCAGATCCAAGAAGTCCGCGCTGAGCGCCATTCGTTTATGTTTATACAGTTTTTGTTTTGTATTATTCTTCTACATTGTCCGCGTTTCTCGGGGGATTCTGGGCCCGACGGGCTCCTTCGGGGACCGTGTCTGGCGCCTCGGCGGACTGTTTGTCCGGCCCACTCGTGGGGGCAGGCGCAGGTTTCGCCAGCGCTGGTTTCGCCCCGCTGGTTTCGCCAACGCAAGTTTCGCTGGCACTGGTTTCGCCGACGCGAGCCCCAACGGGCGGGGTCGGGTCGGGCGGGCGGACCCTAGCGGGCGGATCGGGTCGGGTCGGGCGGGCGGACCATAACGGGCGGGTCGGCTCGGGCGGGCGGGACATTAAGATTTTGGGGCGCGCTCGACCGAGCACGCGCGAACCCTGACGGGCGGGTCGGGTCGGGCGGGCGAATTTTGTCGGGCGGGACGGGTCGGGTCGGGCGGGCGGACCCTAACGGGCGGGTCGGGCCGGGCGGGCGGGACAGCAAAGTATGGGGCGCGCTCGACAAAACATGCGCGAACCCTAATAGGCCGGGTCGGGCCGGGCGGGCGGCTTCAAGCGGGCGGGTCGGGTCGGGTCGGGTCGGGCGGGCGGACCATAACAGGCGGGTCGGGTCGGGCGGGCGGGCGAGCACGCGCGAACCCAAGCGGGCGGGTCAGGTCGGGCGGGCGGACCCTACCGGGCGGGTCGGGTCGGGTCGGGCGGGCGGACCCTGACGAGGGGGTGGGGTCGGGCGGGCGGGACATTGACTTGTGGGGCGCGCCCGACCGAACACGCGCGAACCCTAACGGGCGGGTCGGGTCGGGCGGACGGACCCTAGCGGGCGGGTCGGGTCGCCGACGGCAGCTGGTTTCGCCGACGGAGCTGGTTTTTCCGACGGAGCTGTTTTCGCCGGGCGGCAAAACCAGCCGGGCGAAGCCAGCCGGACGGCACAAACCGTCGGCGAAACCAGCGGTCGCCGCCGTGCTTTCGCTTTTCGCAGCCGTTTCGGACCGCGCGGCCGCAGGGCAGGGCGATGCCACGAATCTTTGCCATGCGCCGTCCAAGTTCGACAAGGGAGGGACGTCGTAATGATGATCAGCTTGTGTCGACGACCTGCACGACGAACGCCCACGAACAACAGAGAACGTGCACGAACAGCGATCGCGCCGCAGTCTGGGGTGGCCAAACAACGTGCACGAATAAAAAACGTTCACGAGCTAAGAACGTGCCGCCGTTTAAGGTGGGCGAAGAACGTACACGTACGCGTGCTTCTTGCCGAGGTGGTCTTCAGGTCTCCGGCACTGGCTTGCGTCGGCAGTGGTTTTTGGTAAACAGCATCGCGGCGGCAGCGGCCAATCTGCCGAAGGCGGAGAGCGGGCACGCGGCGGCAGCCTCGACGGAGGCGAAGCTCGGGGCGGCGACGACGTTTGCGAGGGTCGCGTGGCCGTGGCCGTGGGGGAGCAGTCGCTTGGCCTGCCACGCCACGCTCCTCGGGCAGCGCGGGTGCCCAGCCCGTCGGAGGCCGGCGGCAGCGTGGGCGGAGGCGAAGCGCAAGGCCGGCCGTCTTCTCCATCGCCTCGCTCGCTCCTGGATCGACTAGACGTAAGAGTGACCTTTCGCCGGAGTGACCTTTGGTGCGGGCACAGATGGGTCCCCAGATGGCTGAAAACGAAGCAGTAGCAGCAGTGGTGCCCCTGGGCCCTTTCGACGAGCTCGCGGTCCGCTGCGCGGCACGGTGCAGGGCGCTCGGCTGGGCACGGCTTGGCGCCGCAGCTGCCGCCAAATCTTTGGGCCTCGTGCTCGGGCCTGGCCGGGCTGGCGATTCCGGAAAGGCGCCGCTCGAGAAGTAGGCGGGAGCGCGCCAAATTTGTGGGGGCAGTTCGGGGCCAGCGCCTGCCTGGCCGCCCTCGCGTGTCAGGTGCGCGTGGCGTCCGTCCGCTTGTTCGCGGGGCAGCTGGAGCGGCTTCCCGATGACTTCGACCCAGGGGAGGACAAAAACACCTGGACACGACCATTGGCGTTTTTGCCGAACGGCCCTGGGCGGTCACGAAACAGCCCTGCCTTGTTCGACTCCTTCCCTGGGTGCGTTTACGAAACGGCCTCGCTTGTCGGGCAGATTCTATTGGGGATGGATTTTCCGCGCTGTATCGACGCCGCGGAGAGCAAGGTGACGAGCGGATTTTCCACCACCACTACCATAGGCAGAAGAGGGAGGAGGCGGAGGCGGATGAGGAGGAGGAGGAGGAGGAGGAAGAGGAGGAGGAGGTATTGAGGAGGGGGGGAGGAGGAGGAGGAGGAGGAGGAGGAGGATAAGGATAAGGAGCAGGAGGAGGAGAGGAGGAGGAGGAGGAGGAGGAGGAGGAGGTGGAGGAGGAGGAGGTATTGAGGAGGAGGGGGTGGGGGGGGAGGAGGAGGAGGAGGAGGAGGAGGAGGAGGAGGAGGAGGAGGAGGAGGAGGACCTCCCCCTCCCCCTTCCTCCCCAGTCTTATCTATGGTAGCGGTGGTGGGAAATCGGCCCATCAGAAGGCAGGCGACGCCCTCTTCCCATGGCCCCGCGGCCTGGATGTCACAGCAGGCGCTCCGACGGGTCTCCTCTCGTCGGGCTCGTCCCCATTGGGTGCAGTCAAGCAGTGGCGAAGCGTCCTGGCTCGCCTGTAGGTCCACCAGAAAGTGTTCTAAGATGCTCGAAATGCTCTGAACAGATCTTGCTGAGACTGTTTTGTTTGCACACATCGGGTTTATGATCTTCGCGCTGGGCCCCCCGTCCCTGGCGCGCGGAGCGCGCTAGGGGCGACACCGGAGGCGCCGCCATGGGTGTCCAGCGCGGATCCGAGAAATCCTCGCGGACCTCCGAGTCTGCATGTTTATGTCATGGCTCGTTCCCCTAATGTTCGCGCCTGGCGCATGGAAGCGATCCTCAGCAACGTCAGCAGCACCCTCGCCCGCGAGGTCTGGCTGGGAACGGGGCGCTCTCGTGGTTTCCTCTTACATTTGCCGCGCGCGATTATGCAGGTTTCGCAGATGTTCCCTGCCTCTCCGCGGCTGGTTGAGGCATCCAAAAACGCCATCGATGGCAGCACAGAACCACGATTTGTTGTCGTGGGCCTCGCGGAGCACATGCGCAGCGCCATCACGGGCGCAGGCGGGATCGTTGGAAGATCGCCGCCCTCCGTGGGCAACGACCAGCTCGGGCAGTGCGACGCCTGCTACAGCTGGCGAGCAACGGCCGCTCTCGTGTGCGAGCAGCCTACTTGCGGACCACCTTCAGCGGGTGGCGCGCGAGCCACGGGTTCCAGCGTGCAGGCCCGTGCCCGTTCGCATGCGGCGGCGGCCGGGGCAATCGTGTCCCGCCCTCAAGTGAATGCCTTGTTTTCAGAGTTCCGTCTCCCGCTTCCTGCGTCTGGCTTCAGATCTGGATTTTCTTTAAGGGCTACGAGCGGCTGGTGCCAGCGGGTGCTTCTCCAGCCATCTCGTGCCGCCGCCAGGGGTAGCATAATATACTTTGTGCCGTCTGCGTGGGGCTCTCCGCCGTGGGGTGGTGGAGGCCGCGCACATTCCCTGCGCTTTCACAAAGAACATGACCGTCAAGGCGCAACAGGTGCTGACCAGAGAGATGACTTGGTCTCGTCGCCTTTGGTACGTGCTTCACACTCCTGCTGTGTGCTTCTTCTCCTTCTTTCATTGTGCGGCTGCCTTTTTTCGAGACAGTTTGGGTGTATTCTCGGTGCAGCCTACTACAATTTCTGCCATTCGGGCGTACCGGCCTGCTCGCGGTAGGTCCGCTGTGGTCGACCTTGGCGTGCCTCCGCCCTTGTCCTCCTCCTCCTCCTCCTTCCTTCCTCCTTTGCTTTTCCGCGCACATTCCGCGGAGATGGGAGAACGTTCTCTTAAGCAGTGGCAGAACGTCGTTGTGCTCTTGCTGTCCACCTAGCTGCGGCCACGTTTCCGTCACGTTCGTAGGACACGGCCTGGAGTGGGACCCCGCAGCCTTACTGATGATCGGTAGGGCTGGGGCGGCACTCGCGTGGAGCAGGGTTGCGTATATAGCCTCGTGAGGAGCAGCGGGTCGGTCGGTGCCCGCTCCCATCCTTTCTGCCTTCAGAACTATAAGTTGGCGACGGCTCCGCCTACAAATGCCCGAAATGCGACACCCTACAGCTTGTGTTGTTCCCCCAATTGCCGAAGGGGTTCTTTGTTGGTCAAGAAGAATGGTGCCTCGGGGGCCTCGTTGCCCGTTGCACGGAGGTTCCCCGGGTTAGCCGGGATCCACGGGTTCCTCATGCCCAGCAATCCCAAGCAACGCCAAGCAATGCCAAGCATTTCCCCTAATGGGGGTCGCGCCGGTTTTATGATTCTGGCCACGAAGCCTATGGTGAACCACGGGGTGCTCTTCGTGCGCCATCGACGGTGAGTCTCTCGTTAGCGAAAACCTGCGCGTCGCATTGCTTACTTTGGCAGAGGGGTTGTGCACAACTGCCCCGCGGGACGAGACAGTGTGGCCCTGTCGCACCGTGCCGCTCCCCCCCGCCCGTCTCGCAGACCGTCCTCCGCCCCGGACGGCGCGGCCGCCGCGGCCTGGAGGCCCCGCCCGGGGAGGGGGGGCGGGTGCGCAGTGGGGCCGTGGAGAGCCCTCTTGCCGTTTCCTCTCTCTCTCTCTCTCCTCCTCGTTCCAGGCCTCCTAGATAGGGTCCGCGCAGATGGGGTCGGTGGATCGCATCACCGATGCGTCGCCGATGCCTCGGCGGCGTTGGCGGAGGATCGGCGACATCGGCGGCATCGCCCGATCTTCTCCACGCCGTTGTCGCCAATACATAACCGAAGTCGCCGATGCATCGGCGATGCGTCCGTGATGCATCGGTGATGCGTCGGCGATGTGGCGCGATCCCTCGGCCCCGTCTGCTCGGACCCCGTTTGGGAGGCCTCTGCTCCCTTTCCTCCTCCTTTTTCCTGCTCTTCCCCCCGTTGTCAGGATAGCTGAGACTGAGAGCTTCCGTGCCCAGCCTGGGGTGACCCAGGGCTGGACCCAAACGGTGTTTGTGGTGATCTCGTGGGCCGTTTTCGTTTCGATTTCGTTTTGCGGTGGAGGCGGCCTCGAGACAAGGGCGAGGGAAAGCGAGAACAAAAGACAGCGAAAAACACCGTTTAGGTTCAGCCCTGGGGTGACCTTCGGTAGATTGGGGCCGTCAGTATCACCCAGCCGTAAGTCGTTGCAGCGGGTGTGCGGCCGAGTCGGTGATCTTTTAAAATCGGTCGTGATATGTTGTCCATTGTTTGGGGCGTTGCCCCCAACCGCCTTGCCGTCAGGAGACCGAACAAGCCAGCGAGAATTGTTGGGGTTCAACGAATGATATCATCCTGTCATCAGTCAGAGCAGTATCCCCCAGTCGTCAGGAGTCCTCCTCCTCCTCGCTCCTCCTCGCTCCTCCTCCTCCTCCTCGCTCCTCCTCCTCCTCCTCACTCCTTCTCCTCCTCCTCCTCGCTCCTCATCGCTCCTCCTCCTCATCCTCCTCCTCCTCCCCCTCCTTCTCCTCCTCCTCCTCCTCCTCCTCCTCCTCCTCCTCTTCCTCCTCGCTCCTCCTCCTCGCTCCTCCTCCTCCTCGCTCTTCCTCCTTCTCCTCCTCCTCCTCCTCCTCCTCCTCCTCCTCCTCCTCCTCCGGCTTCGAGGTCCTACCCAGTGCCCAAGGCCCGGAGGCCCTGGCGTCGCAGTTTGTTCCTCCGAGCTGGGCGTCTTCGCCCGGCCTCGCGTCCCCCCGGGGCCCGCGCACTGACCGATCCCCGGCTCGAGAACTGGCACGCGAAGGTGATTCGGGTGCCCCTGGCCCGAGGTGCCCCCCAGCGTTTCGCTCCACTTTGGAGCCCCTGGGGCCCCCTGGGCCTCACGAGGGGTGCTCTGGAGGTCGTGGGGGCCTCACGAGGGGTGCTCTGGAGGTCGGGGCGGCCTCTTGGAAGTCCTGGGGGCACCCTGGGCCAGGGGCACTTGTGGCAACACCCGAGCATGGGGTCGGGGACCCTGGGCCCGATGTTCCGCGATGTCTGGATTTGTTCTGCGACGTCGGAGCTCTTCTGGGCGGCCTGGGCCGCCCTCCCCGCCTCTCCCAGGTCTGGCTCTTCTCCTCCCGTCAGTGTCTTCTCCTCCTCCTCCTCCTTCCTCCTCCTCCTCCTCCTCCTCCTCCTCCTCCTCCTCCTCCTCCTCCTCCTCCTCTATCTTCCTCCTCCTCCTCCTCCTCCTCCTCCTCCTCCTCCTCCTCCTCCCAATCCCCATCCTCATCCCCTTCGAGACCCCCACCAAATTACCACCCCAGTTGAGGATTCACCCCTCGAAACCCGAAGGGAACGGCCCATCTCCCCATCCAGGAGGGTAAATCGGCCGGTGAGGCCCAGGCCACGCCGCTGGGGATGGGGATCGGTGAAACGATACTCATCCCGGGCCGTCTCGTTTCAGTTGCCCCCCCGGGCCCGACTTCCGACGAGGCTTCCGAGGCGGGGATTTCGCCACAACCACAGCCTGGGGGATCGATCTTCGCGGACCTCCACAGGCGGTGGATATGGATGTATTCGGGCCCCTGGGGGGAAACATACAAGTGAATCCACCGCCCGCTGGGGCACCAGCACGTCGGTTCCCAGGCGGTGGATTGGCTACATCCCCGCCTCGCAAGGGCCACCTCGTCGAAATTTCAGGAAGCCGGCGAACCGAAAAGACCCGTCCCCATTTGTCCCCACCCTGCCTCCGTATTCATGAGCTGGCGGCCAGCACCCATCTTTGCACGGCCACCAGCATTCCCGGGCTGGAGGTGTGCAGGGCTCTCCTGGAGGTCCGACCACCCACACCCATACCCCATACCTATAATTCACGTACCCTCAGACCGCGAGGCGCGGGCCAGCACCCCCAATAGGTATGACAGCGTGTTGTCCGTTCATCGTTGTACTGCTTACCTCTCTTCCCGCTTCCCAGACCCCCGACGTCACGTCTTTTTGGGCCGAGCCCCAGAAGTCTCGACCCATTCCCCGAGACCGTTTTTTCGTCCTCCGTCCTCGTGGAAGGTCCCAGAAGCCCGCTGAGAGCCCCCAGAGGCCGAAAAAAGAGCCACAGAAAAAAAACAAGGCGCGCCGCGACTTCTGCCACGACTCGGGGGGGTCGTGAGGTGCGTGCTCCCTCAGGAGGGGAAAAAACACACAGTCACAATTAATCGGCGATTCCCAGAAAATATGGGAAAATATGGGAAGTGGGGGGGAAGACAAAAACCCAGAAAATATGGGAAAATATGGGGAATATTTTTATTTGTGTGTATTTATTTGTGTGTCCTAATTTCCCTTTACTCCCGAAGCCACGTCGGCCCCAGGCGTCCCGCAAGGGGCGCCCCGGAGCCGGCCGGCGGCGCCCCGCGCGCACGCGCGCGCCGCGGCCGCGCCGGCCGCGCGCGCGCGCGCGCGGTGGCGCGAGCCTCGGCGCGCGCGCCCTGCGGCCGCGGGCGGTCGGAGCCCTGTCGGGGGCTCCCGGTGCCGATGTGGACGCCGCGCTCGTTGGGCGTTGCGTAATGGGGGGGTCATAAATGGGGGGGGTGGCGAGGGTGGTCCGAAAAGGTACCCAGACGGTACCTAAACGAGCCCCCTGGGGCTCTGGAGGGGCCCGAAAGGGGCACGAGAGGGGACCTTTCCTGACCCCCCCGTTTATGACCCCCTCCATTAAGCCACGCCCAACGCTCGGGGGGGGGGCTCTTTCCCTTCTTCCTCTCTCCTCTCTGTAGGCCTCCCTTCCCTCCCTCCTAGATGGACCTCCCTTCCCTCCCTCCTCTCCACAGGCCTCCCTTCTCTCTCTACAGGCCTCCCTTCCCTCCCTCCTCTCTATAGGCCTCCTGGATGGGGTCCAAGTTGATGGTGTCGGAGGATCGCGCCGCATCGCCGATGCACCGGCGATGCGGAGCCCGTGTTTCCCCACGCCGACGTCGCCGATGCATCGGCGATGCGTCGGCGATGCATGGGCGAAGCGGCGCGATCCTTTAACCCCATCTATTCGCACACCATCTAGGAGGCCTCTAGGCTCTTCACCCCTTCTTCCTCTCGCCATGGGCTCTCGGGGCCCTCCACGGGGGCCCTCGGGGCTCTCTTGCCGTTTTCTGGCTCTCGTGGCCCTCCACGGGCCCCGGGACGGTCAGAAAACGTTTCAGGATGAAAGACTCGTCTTGGGGGAAGTACCAGGGTCCAGGACCCGTTTCCCTCAGGACCCGTTTCCCCCATGCTAATCTTCCTCCTTCCGCGCACCCACCATTTGCCGACGCCCGCCGACTCCTGAGGGCTCTGACCCCAGCGCGCTGCCCTCCTAGTAGGGGCGGTTCCGCCGGACCGACATCGCGCGCTCGCTCGCTCGCACCTGCCCCCCTTCCCTCGTCGTCCTTCTCATCAAGTACTGAGAGGGCAGGATCTCCAGGAAGCCCGCCGTTCCAGGCGTCCTCCTCCTCATCCTCCTCCTCCATCAGCATCAGCATCAGCATCA